GATGGAGAGAGACGTGGGATGGAGAGAGACGTGGGATCGGAGAGAGACGTGGGATGGAGAGAGACGTGGGACGGAGAGAGACGTGGCACAGAGAGAGACGGGGACGGATAGAGACGTGGGATGGAGAGGAGACGTGGGATGGAGAGAGACGTGGGACGGAGAGGAGATAGTGGGGACAAAGAGAGACGTGGAGACGGAGAGAGACGTGGGACAGAGAGAGACGTGGGATGGAGAGAGACGTGGGACAGAGAGAGACATGGGGACGGAGAGAGACGTGGGACGGAGAGAGACGTGGGACAGAGAGAGACGTGGGACGGAGAGAGACGTGGGGACAAAGAGAGACGTGGGACGGAGAGAGACGTGGGGACAAAGAGAGACGTGGAGACGGAGAGAGACGTGGGATGGAGAGAGACGTGGGATGGAGAGAGACGTGGGATGGAGAGAGACGTGGGATGGAGTGAGACGTGGGACGGAGAGAGACGTGGGATGGAGAGAGACGTGGGGACGGAGAGAGACGTGGGACGGAGAGAGACGTGGGATGGAGAGAGACGTGGGACGGAGAGAGACGTGGGATGGAGAGAGACGTGGGATGGAGAGAGACGTGGGATGGAGAGAGACGTGGGATGGAGAGAGACATGGGGACGGAGAGAGACGTGGGACGGAGAGAGACGTGGGACGGAGAGAGCCGTGGGATGGAGAGAGACGTGGGACGGAGAGAGACGTGGGACAGAGAGAGACGTGGGACGGAGAGACGTGGGATGGAGAGAGACGTGGGACGGAGAGAGCCGTGGGATGGAGAGAGACGTGGGATGGAGAGAGACGTGGAGACGGAGAGAGACGTGGGACGGAGAGAGACGTGGGATGGAGAGAGACGTGGGACGGAGAGAGACGTGGGATGGAGAGAGACGTGGGACGGAGAGAGATGTGGGATGGAGAGAGACGTGGGTATGGAGAGAGACGTGGGATGGAGAGAGACGGTTGGGACGGAGAGAGACGTGGGACGGAGAGAGACGTGGGCATTGCGAGAGACGTGGGATGGAGAGAGCGTGGGGACGGAGAGAGAGACGTGGCGTACGGAGAGAGCCGTGGGATGGAGAGAGACGTGGGACGGAGAGAGACGTGGGATGGAGAGAGACGTGGATGAGAGAGACGTGGGATGGAGAGAGACGTTGGGACTGGAGAGAGACGTGGGACGGGAGAGAGACTGTGGATGGAGAGAGACGTGGGACGGAGAGAGACGTGGGATGGAGAGAGACGTGGGAATGGAGAGAGACGTGGGACGGAGAGAGACGTGGGAGGAGAGAGACGTGGGATGGAGAGAGACGTGGGACGGAGAGAGCTACGTGGGACGGAGAGAGACGTGGGACTGAGAGAGACATGGGAATGGAGAGAGACGTGGATGGAGAGAGAAGTGGGATGGAGAGAGACTGGGACGGAGAGAGGACTGTGGGACTGAGAGAGACGTGGGACGGAAGAGAGACGTGGGACAGAGAGAGACGTGGGACGGAGAGAGACGTGGGACGGATAGAGACGTGGGATGGAGAGAGACGTGGGACGGACAGAGACGTGGGACGGAGAGAGACGTGGGACAGAGAGAGACGTGGGACGGAGAGAGAAGTGGGACGGAGAGAGACGTGGGACGGAGAGAGACGTGGGACGGAGAGAGACGTGGGACGGAGAGAGACGTGGGACGGAGAGAGACGTGGGACAGAGAGAGACGTGGGACGGAGAGAGACGTGGGACGGAGAGAGACGTGGGATGGAGAGAGACGTGGGACGGAGAGAGACGTGGGATGGAGAGAGACGTGGGACGGAGAGAGACGTGGGACGGAGAGAGACGTGGGACGGAGAGAGACGTGGGATGGAGAGAGACGTGGGACGGAGAGAGACGTGGGAAGGAGAGAGACGTGGGACGGAGAGAGACGTGGGATGGAGAGAGACGTGGGATGGAGAGAGACATGGGGACGGAGAGAGACGTGGGACGGAGAGAGACGTGGGACGGAGAGAGACGTGGGATTGAGAGAGACGTGGGATGGAGAGACGTGGGATGGAGAGAGACGTGGGACGGAGAGAGACGTGGGACGGAGAGAGACGTGGGACGGAGAGAGACGTGGGATGGAGAGAGACGTGGGGACAGAGAGAGACGTGGGACGGAGAGAGACGTGGGACGGAGAGAGACGTGGGATGGAGAGAGACGTGGGATGGAGAGAGACGTGGGATGGAGAGAGACGTGGGATGGAGAGAGACGTGGGATGGAGAGAGACGTGGGACGGAGAGAGACATGGGATGGAGAGAGACGTGGGATGGAGAGAGACGTGGGACGGAGAGAGACGTGGGACGGAGAGAGACGTGGGACGGAGAGAGACATGGGATGGAGAGAGACGTGGGATGGAGAGAGACGTGGGATGGAGAGAGACGTGGGACGGAGAGAGACGTGGGACGGAGAGAGACGTGGGATGGAGAGAGACGTGGGACAGAGAGAGACGTGGGACGGAGAGAGACGTGGGACGGAGAGAGACGTGGGACGGAGAGAGACGTGGGACGGAGAGAGACGTGGGATGGAGAGAGACGTGGGACGGAGAGAGACGTGGGATGGAGAGAGACATGGGATGGAGAGAGACGTGGGACGGAGAGAGACGTGGGATGGAGAGAGACGTGGGATGGAGAGAGACATGGGGACGGAGAGAGACGTGGGACGGAGAGAGACGTGGGACGGAGAGAGCCGTGGGACGGAGAGAGACGTGGGACGGAGAGAGACGTGGGATGGAGAGAGACGTGGGACGGAGAGAGACGTGGGACGGAGAGAGACGTGGGACGGAGAGAGCCGTGGGATGGAGAGAGACGTGGGACGGAGAGAGACGTGGGACAGAGAGAGACGTGGGACGGAGAGAGACGTGGGACGGAGAGAGCCGTGGGATGGAGAGAGACGTGGGATGGAGAGAGACGTGGGATGGAGAGAGACATGGGGACTGAGAGAGACGTGGGACGGAGAGAGACGTGGGACAGAGAGAGACGTGGGACGGAGAGAGACGTGGGATGGAGAGAGACGTGGGATGGAGAGAGACGTGGGATGGAGAGAGACGTGGGATGGAGAGAGACGTGGGATGGAGAGAGACGTGGGATGGAGAGAGACGTGGGATGGAGAGAGACGTGGGATGGAGAGAGACGTGGGACGGAGAGAGACGTGGGACAGAGAGAGACGTGGGACGGCGAGAGACATGGGACGGAGAGAGACGTGGGATGGAGAGAGACGTGGGATGGAGAGAGACGTGGGACGGAGAGAGACGTGGGACGGAGAGAGACGTGGGTATGGAGAGAGACGTGGGACGGAGAGAGACGTGGGATGGAGAGAGACGTAGGATGGAGAGAGACGTGGGACGGAGAGAGACGTGGGATGGAGAGAGACGTGGGATGGAGAGAGACGTGGGACGGAGAGAGACGTGGGATGGAGAGAGACGTGGGACGGAGAGAGACGTGGGATTGAGAGAGCCGTGGGATGGAGAGAGACGTGGGATGGAGAGAGACGTGGGATGGAGAGAGACGTGGGACGGAGAGAGACGTGGGATGGAGAGAGACGTGGGACGGAGAGAGACGTGGGGACGGAGAGAGACGTGGGATGGAGAGAGACGTGGGATGGAGAGAGACATGGGACGGAGAGAGACGTGGGATGGAGAGAGACGTGGGATGGAGAGAGACGTGGGATGGAGAGAGACGTGGGATGGAGAGAGACGTGGGACGGAGAGAGACGTGGGATGGAGAGAGACGTGGGGACGGAGAGAGACGTGGGATGGAGAGAGACGTGGGATGGAGAGAGACGTGGGACAGAGAGAGCCGTGGGACGGAGAGAGACGTGGGATGGAGAGAGACGTGGGATGGAGAGAGACGTGGGACTGAGAGAGACGTGGGACAGAGAGAGACGTGCGACGGAGAGAGACGTGGGATGGAGAGAGACGTGGGATGGAGAGAGACGTGGGACTGAGAGAGACGTGGGACGGAGAGAGACGTGGGATGGAGAGAGACGTGGGACTGAGAGAGACGTGGGACTGAGAGAGACGTGGGATGGAGAGAGACGTGGGTATGGAGAGAGACGTGGGACTGAGAGAGACGTGCGACGGAGAGAGACGTGGGACGGAGAGAGACGTGGGATGGAGAGAGACGTGGGATGGAGAGAGACGTGGGACGGAGAGAGACGTGGGATGGAGAGAGACGTGGGATGGAAAGAGACGTGGGACTGAGAGAGACGTGGGATGGAGAGAGACGTGGGATGGAGAGAGACGTGGGATGGAGAGAGACGTGGGATGGAGAGAGACGTGGGACGGAGAGAGACGTGGGATGGAGAGAGACGTGGGACGGAGAGAGACGTGGGATGGAGAGAGACGTGGGACGGAGAGAGACGTGGGATGGAGAGAGACGTGGGATGGAGAGAGACGTGGGACGGACAGAGACGTGGAGACGGAGAGAGACGTGGGACGGAGAGAGACGTGGGACGGAGAGAGACGTGGGATGGAGAGAGACGTGGGATGGAGAGAGACGTGGGACGGACAGAGACGTGGAGACGGAGAGAGACGTGGGACGGAGAGAGACGTGGGACGGAGAGAGACGTGGGGACGGAGAGAGACGTGGGACGGAGAGAGCCGTGGGACGGAGAGAGACGTGGGACGGAGAGAGACGTGGGATGGAGAGAGACGTGGGACGGAGAGAGATGTAGGATGGAGTGAGATGTGGGACGGAGAGAGACGTGGGATGGAGAGAGACGTGGGACGGGAGAGAGACGTGGGATGGAGAGAGACGTGGGACGGAGAGAGACGTGGGATGGAGAGAGACGTGGGACGGAGAGAGACGTGGGATGGAGAGAGACGTGGGATGGAGAGAGACGTGGGGACGCAGAGAGACGTGGGATGGAGAGAGACGTGGGACAGAGACGTTGGGACAGAGAGAGAAGTGGGACGGAGAGAGATATAAGTGGCGATGTGGGGGGGTGCTGGGGACGCGGGGCCTCACCTCCACCTCGCACTCGTACTGCGCGCCATCCAGCAGCGCCACCTTGCACGCCATCGCCGACGCGGCACCCTTGCCCTTCTTGCTCGCCCGGGCCTGGGCCTGGGCCTGGGCCTGGGCCGCTGCCGCGCCCGCGTGGGGTCGACTCGCTCCGCGTTTCCCTTCGCCGGCGCCTGCCCACAGAGTCCGCACGCGGAACAAAACACCACACACACTGCCGATGAGATGGTGTTTGCTGAAACCGGTCAAGGGTTTGGCTTGGACCGAATCGGGGTGCCACGGTGGAGAGATGTTGACGACCTCGCCTCGTACGCAGGATGTCGTGGGTTCGATCTGGACCCTGATGGAGTTATTAAAAACGTGCGTTGAGGGCGTTTGGCTGCGATAAATTTCCACACGATGAGCCACTTCGTTGAACTATCATTTGTGGCCAGGTCGCTTCGGACAAAAGAGCTGTGTAGCTCAGTGGGCCTTACCTGGTAAAATAAAAAATAGTCAATAGTTAGTAGAGTCAATGCTGCTGAAAGGTATTCCCTTCCGGAAGGCCGTTTGGGGGCCAATGGGTGTCATACTCTTTGGTTCTATTGGGTAAAGTCACGTAGGTGAAAATAAAATTAACAAAAAATCACGACGTTTCGGCCACAACACAAGCGGCCTTCATCAGGTGAAGGGACGAGACTGTCTGGAGGACAGCGCTGGAGTGAGCGAAGCCACGCTTAGATCACGACCTTTAAGCTGTGTGAGAAGAAAAACACCAAGCGCCTTGACAAAGGGTTGCGTATAGAAGAAATTGTTTCTCATGTGTAGAGGTGCATGCATGTGTATATGTTGAACTTCTTTCGCACCCTACGGAGCCAACCGCGCTAATCGGAGGTTCCGGGGGGGGGGGGGGGGGGGAGGACACAAACTAACCGCAGTTCTAAACAAATTAGTTTGTCACAACTCTCAGTGGCTTCCTAATACCGGAAGGAAGAACGTTCCAGGCGGCCGCAGTAGCAGAGACAAAGACCGCCTGCGTAGTCACACAAACTGCTGAGGCAAGTGCTGCTAACGAGGGCAATGACAAATGAGGGGGTGGGTAGCTAGCACCATGCCGGCCGCCTTTGTCTCCCCCAATGATGATGTTGATCCCCCGTGTAGCCTTAACAGACTGTTGGGGCAAGTGCTGTTGGCGAGCACCTACGAAGGCCGGCACGGCACACCAAGGGGGTGGGTGGCCAGCACCACGGCATGCCACCTCCTGTCGACCCAGCGCTGACGTTTAAACACTGTCCCGCGCGGCACGATGTGTCCGACGTTTCGCTCCACGTGCTGGGAGCTTCTTCAGGAAGCGGTACAACCTGAAGGCGTGCGGCGGAGCTTTTGTCGTGCGGCTGCTGATGGAGACGCTGAGCAACAGCGGCGACGGTCTCACACTGAGGTGGTCGAGCCAGCAGACAACCGCGTCAAGGAGCAAGCAGAGTCGTGTGTCATCGTCGTCGTCATCGTCGTCATCGTCGTCATCGTCGTCACTGCGATGTCTCTCTCCTTCGTACACAGTCGCACACTGCCGGAGAGTTTCACATTTACCATTTTTATTCTTGGTTCTTTCGGTAAAGCCACGTCGAATGGAAATAAAATAATAAAAATAAAACATAATAAAATAAAATAAACGTTTTATTTTTATTATTTTATTTCCATTCTACGTGGTGACTTTACCGAAAGAACCAAGAAGATGAATCCCTGCGGTCACGGAAGCTTTAAATCGAAATTTTCCATTTTGTGCATCATCAACATCATCATCAGGTATCGTGGTTTGTGCAGTGGACACAGTTCATGGTGGGCCGGGAGCAGCTTCGTGGAAGATCGAACCCCAGGGGATCTTCTGCCTTGGGTCTTTCACAACAAGGCGGCGTTTCTTGGGAGTTCTTTTCAACTTCATTCAGCTTTTCGGGGGGGGGGGGGGGGGGGGTTGAACTCACACAACCGCGGGATGCCACACAGGGGTAACACAACCGGCACAACCCCCCCCCCCCTCGTCAGGGGTAACCCAACCGGCTCCACCGCCACTCCCCTCCCCCGTCAGCGGCGCACGCGAGTTGCTTTGTCATCACATAAAGTGACTATCATAACGGAAACAACGAAAATATGTTCCAGCCATTCTCCACCAACCAATGCATGACCGCGCGTCTCCGAATCGGTCATGCTTCACCACGCGCTGGCGAGCGCGGCTCGGTGAAGGAAGGAGGTGCCCCAGGACCGGTTCCGATATCGCTCGCCACGCATCGTCAGCCACGGCCGGGAATCGTCCCAAACGATCCATCGCACGCAGCCGGCGCCCCTAAACTACGACCACTATTTATCCGACCGGGTAAGGCCCCACTGAGCTGCGAAGCTCATTTTCAGAAGCGACCTTGGCCATGACAAATGATAGCTCGGTGAAGTGGCTCATCATCGTCGCGTGGAAACTGAGAGCAGCAACCAAACACTCTGAACGCGTCACGTCGACTCTAAATGGGGAGGGAAAAACCGGAGGAGCCGGAGAAAAATCCACGCGACCACGGGGAGAGAGAGACAAACTCAAAATATAGAGCAGGAGCCAGGGTCGGGATCGAACCCTAGAGGCAAAGTAGTTAACATCTTGCCACGGGGGAGGGTGGGGTCTAACCGTTCCCCTTCAGGCCCCCCTTTTCCCCGGGGGCGGGGAGGGGGCGGCGGCCCTCTGCATCTCATTCGCATGAACGGAGCGGCTCCGCGGTGCGCGGGTCGAGTGCCGCATCATCCGTCACGTGATCCCCCGCTCGGGCCAATCAGCTCGCGGCGTGACTCATGGGGAAGGGGGCGGGGGGGGGTGGCCGCGAGAGCGTCGTCATGTAAATCCTGAGACTAAGTCGACCTAGGTCGACCTAGGTAGACTCAGTCTCAAATGTTTACTAGGTGAGACTACTGGCGAGACAAAGGCGGTCAGGCGTGGTGCTGGCCACCCACCGCCTCGTGTGCCATGCCCCGACCTTCATAGGTGCTGCTCGCTAACAGCGCTTGCTCCAACATTCTGTTAAGGCTACGCAGGGGATCTTCGTCCATTGTTGCAACCTGCAGTGTGGTGGTGGCGGTGACGGTGTCTGAACACAGAGTGATGAATGGGACGGCGTGGTCAGCGTCTTGCTGGAGACCGGGGTCCCCTCAGCACGCGTGAAGTTCACGTGGCAACGGTAGCCGTGGCAACGGTTGCCGTGGCAACGGTGGCCGGGGCAACGGAGGTGTACCGCGGCCAGGGTTGTAACTATGGGGGGCTGGGGGTACGTGGCAGCGTTATGCGACGCAGAGGGGGCCCAGTGGCTCGCAAGGGGGGGGGGGCACCCCTGAATCAACAGATAAACAAAGTAACAAAAAAACATTCCAACAGTTGACCGTGAATACCCAAGAACAACGTGACAAATGTTACATTTCCCAAAAATACACACGGCGTAAAATATTAGTGCCGCGAACTGCGTATGAAAGCAAGACGCACGACAACTCAAGAGTGAGTATTGTACCTTTAAATCTTTTTAGCAACACTGTCACTGGTTAAAACGGTCTTCCTCTAAACACACGGTGCGACTACAATAATGTTATTGTAGCCTCACATATTATTGTTATACGGGGAAAAAAAAACACCCGTATCTTATTTTAGTAAAAGCGAGTCGGGAGACGGTCGTGTCTTGAAGAGAGTCTTGGCGAGTTTGGATTGACACGAGGAAGAGCGCCCGGTGTGTCTGGCGAGGCGAACTGTGATGGCGGCGATGGCGGCGATGGCGGAGATGGCGGCGATGGCGGTGTGGGGAGCGGTGGCGGCGATGGCGGCGATGGTGGCGATGGTGGCGATGGTGGCGATGGTGGTGATGGTGGCGATGGTGGTGTGGGGAGCGGTGGTGGCGATGGCGGCGATGGTGGCGATGGTGGCGATGGCGGCGATGGTGGCGATGGCGGTGTGGGGAGCGGTGGTGGTGATGGTGGCGATGGTGGCGATGGTGGCGGCGGTGGTGGCGATGGTGGCGATGGTGGCGATGGTGGCGATGTGGGTGAAGGTGGTGTGGGGAGCGGTGGTGGCGATGGTGGCGATGGTGGCGATGGTGGCGATGGCAGTGATGGTGGCGATGGTGGCGATGGTGGCGATGGTAGTGATGGTGGTGTGGGGAGCGGTGGTGGCGATGGCGGAGATGGCGGCGATGGTGGCGATGGTGGCGATGCAGTGATGGTGGCGATGGTGGCGATGGTGGCGATGGTGGCGATGGTGGCGATGGTAGTGATGGTGGTGTGGGGAGCGGTGGTGGCGATGGCGGAGATAGCGGCGATGGCGGCGATGGTGGCGATGGTGGCGATGGCGGCGATGGCGGCGATGGCGGCGATGGTGGCGATGGCGGCGATGGCGGCGATGGTGGCGATGGTGGCGATGGTGGCGATGGTGGTGTGGGGAGCGGTGGTGGCGATGGTGGTGTGGGGAGCGGTGGTGGCGATGGCGGCGATGGCGGCGATGGCGGCGATGGTGGTGTGATGGTGGCGATGGTGGCGATGGTGGCGATGGTGGCGATGGCGGCGATGGCGGCGATGGCGGCGATGGTGGCGATGGTGGTGATGGTGGTGTGATGGTGGCGATGGTGGTGTGATGGTGGTGATGGTGGCGATGGTGGCGATGGCGGAGATGGCGGCGATGGCGGCGATGGTGGCGATGGTGGCGATGGTGGCGATGGTGGCGATGGTGGTGTGGGGAGCGGTGGTGGCGATGGTGGCGATGGTGGCGATGGTGGCGATGGCGGCGATGGCGGCGATGGTGGTGATGGTGGCGATGGTGGCGATGGTGGTGATGGTGGTGATGGTGGCGATAGTGGCGATGGTGGCGATAGTGGCGATGGTGGCGATGGTGGTGATGGTGGCGATGGTGGTGATGGTGGCGATGGTGGTGATGGTGGTGTGGGGGGCGGTGGTGTAGCGGTTCGTAGCGCTACGCTGCGCTACGAACCCGGCCGCCCGAGTTCGATTCCTGCTCACGGCCGCAACACCAGTGACAATTATCTGAACCAGTCGTGGGCTGTCCCTAGGTCGACTCAGCCTCAAATGAGTACCTGGTGCGGTGTGTAAACATCGCCACTGGGGAGACAAAGGCGGCCGGGCGTGGTGCTGGCCACCCACCTCCTCGTGTGCCGTGCCGGCCTTCATAGGTGCTCGCTAACAGCACTTGCCCCAACAGTCCGTTAAGGCTACACGGGAGATCTCTCTCCTTTGATGGCGATGATGGTGGTCATGGTGGTGGTCTTGGTGGTGATGGTGGTGGTGGTGTTGAAATCAGTTGCGCCCCTGAACGCAGCTCCACCGTCTTCGGCCTGAGCCGAGCCCGACCCGAACCAGGACTCGAACTCGCGACCTTCCGGCAGCGATCCGCTTCAAGAGGAACCGGGAATGGGGAACCTCGCCGCCACGTGTTCGGTTTCACTCCCTGTGCACGACGTCCGGCTGGGCGTTGGGCACGAGGAGGCCGATCACTCGACAGGGGCCCTCGGGGGTGGCGTTTTCGCAATCGGAATCCGCTCTCATCCCGGAGAAATCCGATGAGCTGTGAAGCTCTTCCTCACACGTGCCCAGTCGAGGGCCCCCTTCCCGAGCAGGAAAGGGAACTTATTTTTCGAGTGGAGGCACCTTTGCCCCGGCAGCGGCGTCAGCGAGCACTTGCAGGGCTGCGCCCGTACCTTCGTTGTGATTATATATATATATAAAAAAAAACCATCCTTCTCCCCGCGTGAGCGGGTGTCGAGCCGCGACTGAGACGGCCGCGAAGCTGCGGTTCCCCCCCTGCACGTTGCGAGACTGAGACGGCGCCCGCTTGGCCACAGCCTTACCACGTCGCACCAAGTCCCCGTCAATCGCTCGTCCGCCAGCAACGGACGAGCGCCGAACGAAAGCCGAAAGCCGAAACGGCGTTTGGCGGAGTGCGGCCACGGCGATCGGCGGTGGCGCACGCTGTCCCGAGCCGCACGCTGCCCAACCGACCGGCGCGGTGAAGTACGGACGAACAAGCCCCCGTGACCGCCGGCACGGGCGTGGGGGGAGGGAGCGATCATCGGAAGGGGCCGTAAATCGTCGGCAATGGCGCCGCACGCGGCTCTCCAGGCACCGTCTCCGTGGCGTTGTCCGTCAAGGGCCGCCGTCTCGCATTCACGCGGCACTGCCGGGGGGGGCTCCTGAAACGCCGAGTTGATCTTTGAGGCAAGCCTAACAAAATTGGCTCCTCTTGTTACTTTGCTTGCCGACCGCCGGTGCGGACCTTCCTGAAGGCGAGGCGACGTGCAGAGTTGTTGCGCGTGCCAGGCAAGGGTGACGGGCGCGGGGGGGGGGGGTGCGGGGGAGGGGGCGGCACGGCAACGCCCCCGTAGCGACGACGCTACGCCCGCGCGTCGAGAGTGTCCGCTCGCGTCGCTGGCGGGGGTCTCGAGCCCCTGCTGCGGCGGCGTCTCGCCGGAGCGCTGCCGCCAACTCGGCGACGACGAGCTCCGGTGCCAAGAGGGCGACCGGCGCTGCGGGCCGAGGAGGAGACGACGTCACGCGTCGCGAACCCCGTGACCCCAGCCACCCCCGTGACCCCAGCCACCCCAGTGACCCCCGTGACCCCAGCCACCCCCGTGACCCCAGCCACCCCCGTGACCCCAGCCACCCCCGTGACCCCAGCCACCCCCGTGACCCCAGCCACCCCCGTGACCCCCGTGACCCCAGCCACCCCCGTGACCCCCACCACCCCGCCATCCCAGTGACCCCAGCGACCTCCACCACCCCAGTGACCCCAGCGACCTCCACCACCCCCGTGACCCCAGCCACCCCCGTGACCCCAGCCACCCCCGTGACCCCAGCCACCCCCGTGACCCCCGTGACCCCAGCCACCCCCGTGACCCCCGTGACCCCAGCCACCCCCACCACCCCAGTGACCCCAGCCACCCCCCGTGACCCCAGCCACCCCCGTGACCCCCACCACCCCCACCATCCCAGTGACCCCAGCGACCTCCACCACCCCAGTGACCCCAGCGACCTCCACCACCCCAGTGACCCCAGCCACCCCCACCACCGCAGTGACCCCAGCGACCTCCACCACCCCAGTGACCCCAGCGACCTCCACCACCCCAGTGACCCCAGCCACCCCCACCACCGCAGTGACCCCAGCGACCACATTGACCCCCATCACCCCAGCGACCTCCGTGACCCCAGTCACCCCCACGACCCCAACAACCCCCGCGACCCCCCGCGACCTCCGTGTCCCCCGTCACGCACACAGCGCGACACCGCCAACGCGGCTCTCGGCGTGACGCCGTCGCCACCGACAATTCTCACCGCCAACGAACCGACTGAACGCCTTCACCGGGGGCGGGCGGCGGCAAAGGCGCCGCCGCGTCAGAAATCGCCGCAGGGTCCACGCAAGCGTGGAATGGGTTCTCATTCTTGTTGTTGTTTTTTTTAACGTCGCGGGCCGATCCAGGCTGGCACGGGGGTCCAGGCCGATGACGCGGGGTAGACAGGGAGAGGAAAATGGAAGCCACGGATGGCTGGGTGGCTGGGTGGCTGTGGGGGGTGGTGTGTGTGGCGGGCGGGGGGGGGCACCCGACTGTGAAATGTTGAAATCCAACTTCCGCAGTTGGATCCCCCCGCCGCCGCTGTGGCGAGTTCCCCGGCTTGTTGGCAAGGGCGAGGCTCGGGAGGGGGGGGGGGGGGGGGCGGGTTTCTGTCGTCCAGAGAACGGGCGGTGGCACCGATGGCTCACGGCAACATGCGACCCGGGGGTTCGACTCCCGACTCCCGACTGGGAAGCCTCGCCGGGTCGACTCGGTGCGTTCTCTCTCCACGTGGTCTGCATGGGCTTCCTCCGCGTTTCTCTGGTTCCCTCCCAGAGCTAAACGAAACCTAACGATGTAACTGGTGGATGGTCAACGTGCGTGCGTGTGTGTTATTAACATACAAAGACCCCCCCCCCCCCCCCCCCCCCCCCGTGTAGCCTTAGAAGAACTGTTGGGGCAAGTGCTGTTAGCGAGCAGCACCTATGAAGGCCGGAACGGTACACGAGGGGGTGGGTGGCCGTGACCACGCACAGTCATTGTTGTCTCCCCAGCGGCGATGTTTACACACCGCACCAGGTACTCATTTGAGGCCGAGTCGACCTAGGAGAGGCCGAGGACCGGTTCAGATAATCGTCACCGGTGTTGGCCGTGAGCGGGAATCGAACTTGTACAGCCGGGTTCGTAGCGCAGCGCTAACCACTACACTACCGCTCCCCATACGGTCAGCAGCAGCAACCACGCCACTAAGCGGCGGTGACATCACAGCGGCGCTCGTGCCAGGCTAGGTGCGCTTTAGGGCCACGCGAAGCGTCCGGCACAAACAGGCCCCCAGGACGGTAACGCCGCGGTGGACGTGACGCGGAGGGAAGGCGACTTGCAAAATCGGCCATTCCCCCCCCATGGCGCACGTAGCCACCACGGCAGGCCAAATGGGGGCCCTTGACGGGTGCGAGGGGCTGGGAACCCCTCCACCTTCAATTTCATTACCACAAAAACACGCTAAGAATTTCTAGCTAACGTGCTCCCCGTACAAATATCTCCCGTATAGCCTCAATAGACTGTTGGGGCAAGTGGTGTAGCACCTACGAAGGCCGGTAACGGCACACGAGGGGGTGGGTGGGCCAGCACCACGGCCGACCGCCTTTGTCTCCCCCCCAGTGCCGCTGTTTACACACCGCACCAGTTACTCATTTGAGGCTGAGTCGACCTAGGGGAGGCCGAGGACCGGTTCAGATAATCGTCACCTGCGTTGGCCGTGAGTGGGAATCGAACTCGGGCAGCCGGGTTCGTAGCGCAGCGTAGCGCTAACTCTCCACACACGCACGCGCACGCGCTGAGCATGACCACGCCTGGATCGTGTTGAATACGAAGAGCCTTTTAAAATGAGTAGCGACTAAAAATAAGAAACACACACACCGTTTGTCAACGCTGCCCGGCGGAGCCTCGCGGAGCCACCGGACCTCACGCGCCAACCGGCACGGCGATTCATTCCCTCCCCCGAGTAATTAAAAATATCATCGCACTTGTGCTGACCGCTGAGAACCTGCCCGAGCGTAAAATGGGGGGGAGATGCAATCATCCACACGGATGATTTACAGACTACTCTCGCCTGCCAGCGGGATTTTTTGTTATATTCACGCGAAGACTAGGAAGCACAGCCCTTACAACCCACGCATATGCCTGGTTTATCCTCCTCATATTATAATTAATGACGTGTCGTACCATATGTGCGTGTGTGTGTGTGCTGGGTGGTGCAGTGGGGAGCGGTGGTGTAGCGGTTAGCGCTACGCTGCGCTACGAATCCGGCGACCCGGATTCGATTCCCGCTCGCGGCCAACACCAGTCACTTATATCTGAACTGGTCCTGGGCCTCCGCTAGGTCGGCTCAGCCTCAAATGAGTACCTGATGTAAACATAAGCAATGGGGGAGACAAAGGCGGCCGGGCGCGATGCTGGCCACCCCCTCATGCTGGCCACCCCCTCCCCCCCCCCCCTCCCCGTGTGCCGTGCCGGCCTTCACAGGCGCTGCTACTCGCAAACGGCACTTGCCCCGGCAGTCCGTTAAGGCTACGCGGGGGATCTTTGCCTTAGCGTGCGTTGTCTCTGCGCGCTGTCCGAGTTGTCCGCCTCTTGCCTGCTTGGCCGTGGAGGCGGTGCCACCGTCTGCCGCCGGCTGCCCCTCGGCCGCGGTGGAGGCCACCGGCCGCTCCGGCCGCTCCGGCCGCTGCTCGTTGCTGGAGGCCGGCCTCACCTCGCCCGCCGTGGAGCCTCCCTCTGTGGCCATCGCACGCGGAGTCTGCGGAAGAGACGCGCGGAGCGGAACACGGATATAATGTTACACACACACAGAGTACAGCAACGCGGATAACATTACATGCGCACGCGTTCGCGAGCACCTAGGAACGCCGGTACGGCACACGAGGGGATAGGGGGCCAGCAGCACGGCCGATGTTTTTACACACCATGTAACAGTTTGAGGCCGAGTCGACCTAGGGCGAGGCTCAGGAGCGGTTCAGATAATCGTCACCATGTGCGAGCGGAAATCGAACTCGGGCCCCGCCGCTGGGTTCGTAGCGCAGCGTAGCGCTAACCGTCGTGCTCGCACGCGAGGAGCGCTGGGCCGTGTAAACGACCGCCGTGCCAACGGTGAGGGCGCCGGAACGGACGGCATGGTACAGCATGTGCACGTCGGCAACCCCACGGGACACGCTCAGGCGCCCGTAGCATCACCGCCACCATCGCCACCACCAACGCCACCACCATCGCCACCACCATCGCCACCACCACCGCCACCACCGCCATCACCGCCATCACCGCCACCACCGCCACCACCACCACCGCCACCACCATCGCCACCACCATCACCACCACCACCGCCATCACCATCACCACCATCACCATCGCCACCACCATCGCCACCACCATCACCATCGCCACCATCACCGCCACCACCATCGCCACCACCCACCACCATCGCCACCACCATCACCACCACCCACCACCATCACCATCGCCACCACCAACAAAATCACCACCGCCACCACCACTATCGCCATCACCACCACCATCACCACCACCATCACCATCGCCATCACCACCACCATCACCAGCACCATCACCACCACCACCATCACCACCACCACCACCACCACCATCACCACCACCACCACCATCGCCACCACCACCACCACCATCACCACCACCACCACCATCGCCACCACCATCACCACCACCATTGCCATCACCACCACCATCACCATCACCATCGCCATCATCACCATCACCACCATCACCACCACCATCACCACACTCCGGGCGGCCTCACTTCTCTTGACATTTTTTGAAAGTCAAAGTGATTTCCTGCTCAACTTAGCGCCGAGGCACCGGTTGCCCATCGCCAGCTTACCCGCCCTGCAGAGCTAGTGTTGGAAATTCCACATTCCTATGGCGGGGGGCAGGGGAGAGTCTACCCACAGAAAAACAACCATTGGGCTCCGCCGCACGATGGCACTTCATTGTATCGACAAGGAGAAAGAGGGACGATGGATCAACCACCCCCAGCCTCCGCCCCTCACGCCCCACAACGAGGATTTGACCTCACGAGTGGCTCGCTCTCCCGGTGAGCCACCCCGACCGGTTAGGAGCGAGAGGAGCGTGGAGTGGAGATCGACGCGCAGATACACACACGGAGACCGCCGAGGAGGAGGAGGAGGAGGCGGGGGGGTGGCTGGAGGAGGAACCCGTGAGCGACACGCTCCACTGCTCGTGGTAAGAGACGGCCCAAAGGTGCTTTCCCATCGCTAACCACTGCCGCCGGAGGTGATGCGGCTCGGATACAAATTAGCAGCCGCTCTTGAGGGGCGGGGACGGGGGAAAGGCGGCGTAGCGGTTAGCGCACCGCGCTACGAATCCGGAGAGACCCGCGGATTCAATTCCGGGCCACGGCTCAAATCGGCGGCGAGCCGTGGCCCGGTACCGAGAGGCAGCGACGAGCACGGTGAAGCACGGTGAAGCACGGTGAAGCACGGTGAAGCACGGTGAAGCACGGTGAAGCACGGTGAAAACAACCGCCATGACCCCCACAGGAGTGGAGAAGCTCTCATCCGGCAGCGGACTGACGAAGGCCTGTAAAACGTACGCGTGGAATGCCCCTACCAATTACCAAATGGCCGATGCTGTGGGATGAACGCTTTAAATTTCACGCCATGTACCCCCACCCTCCCCCCCCCCCCCTTTGTAACGGGCCCCATGAAATCCATCCGCGGACCTCGCGGGACTTACAGGGTACCCCGACCACACGTCCGGCTGATCCGTGAATGTCGGCGCGACCCCTCGACCACGCACGGGCGACCGCCACAAGTTGACCGGACAATTCCGGCGTCGCTCGCGAAAACCAAGAAACGCGCGCCATGACGCGCGTCATGGCGGGCGTTTGCGAACCCGCCCTCTTCTTGGGCCCCTGTGCCCGCCGAACGTTCGCAACAAAACAAAAAACACCGCGAGCACAACTCCGCGGCCGGACGCACCGAAGCACGCGCGCGGGGCCTGACGTGCCCCGGCCGCCCCGGCCGCCCCCGGCCACCCCGGCCACCCCGGCCACCCCGGCCACCCCGGCCACCCCGGCCACCCCGGCCACCCCCGGCCACCCCGGCCACCCCCGGCCACCCCGGCCACCCGGCCACCCCGGCCACCCCGGCCACCCCGGCCACCCCGGCCACCCCGGCCACCCCGGCCACCCCGGCCACCCCGGCCACCCCGGCCACCCCGGCCACCCCGGCCACCCCGGCCCACCCCGGCCACCCCGGCCACCCCGGCCACCCCGGCCACCCCGCCACGCGCGACCCCCCCGCCGTCGAGTGCCGCAGTGAAAGGCGCGGGAACCACACGGTGGCGAGCCTTCCGCTCGGGAGCGCCCGCCCGCGCTCACCGCGATCTGGCGGACGCGAGACCAAGAGTCGGCCGCACGCGGACGGAGCCGGACGGAGCCGGACGGAGCCGGACGGAGCCGGACGGAGCCGGACGGAGCCGGACGGCAAACCCGACCGCCGCGACGCGGGACAGATCCTCCCAGCGAGCGGCCTGGCGGACGGACGGACGGACGCTCCGGCGAGACTGCCGCTCTGCGCGCCGTGGAGTTTTGCCGTTTGTGGGTTCCGCTTCGTGCGGGGAGGGGGGGACGGGGGGGGGGGAGCCCCTCCCCCGGTCCCGCATGAAAGGCGGCGCTGGTACTCGTGGTGACTGCCGCGGATTTTTGTTGTTGCTGTAAACTTCCTGCTGGTCGTATCGGCAGTGGCAGGCTGTGCGTGTGGTGTGACCAGCAAAGAGAGCGCCCACAAAAACACACAAAGATAAAGGTCCCCACGTGCAGCCTTGAAAAGACTGTTGGGACAAGTGAGGGTCAGCGAGCACCTATTAAGGCCGGCACGGCGGGCACGACAGGGGGTGCGTGGCCAGAACCACACCCATCCGCCTTTGTCTCCCCAGTGGTGATGTATACACCGCACGAGGTACTAAATTGAGGCTGCGTAGGGCAGTGCACTTACTGCTACACTACCGCTCGAATACCAATACACGTCAATTCGCCACTAAGTGACGTCACCACGGGGCCTGTGTGAGGCTAGGGGCCCTCTGAGGCCACGTGCAATGTCGAAGGCTCGCTGACAGGAGGAGGTCTCGGGACAGATCCAGCAGGTGCCATGGGTTGGTTGACTGAGATGACCGGTGATGCACCACCGGCTGTACCCCCTACTGTGCCAACTTGCTGCATTTTAGCCGCCCAGTGCTCCGCTCGTTGTTGTGAGCGTTGCTCCTCTGCCCTCCGTTGTCATTGCGCCTCCTCCACAGAGGCCAATCTTAACCCCGCTGGGACCAGTCGTCGGCAAGTCCACTCAGCTCCACATCTTCCTGTACCGCATCAGTCTATTATCTTCTTCGGTCCATGTCGCGCCTGTTTAGCCCCCTCTATCCGGCCAAACAGAAGCTGTTTGGGCATGCTGTGGCTGGGCTTCTGGGCGACATGACCCGGCCAATGCAGCTTTGCCTGCCGGGCAGCTGCTGGAGGAGCTCACCGATGGGACCGTGTCCAGATCTTTCAAGAATTTGTGAGCTCCTCACATAATCCAAGCCTGCTGGTTAAACCCAGGATGGATCGTAGGCATGCCAGCCTGAATGTTTCTAACCGGCGCAGATGTTCCATTAGAGGGGTCCACGTTTCGCAAGCGTGGAGAAGGGAGAGCATGAATGTAGCCGAGAAGACCCGAAGCTTCCTGCAGAGCGACAGACCAGGTAGTTTCCACACAGCATTGCGCAGCTGATGAAAAGATAATGCCGCCCGGCTGATTCGTAGTGAGACCTCTGCTATCAGACCGGAGCTGGTCAAAAGCACACTGCCCAGGTATGGGAAACTCTCCACTCTCTCTGTAACTGCTCCATCACCAATGTCAGCTGAGGGGGTGGATTGTTTAGTGGCATAATGTACCAGGCAGGTGTTTAGTTTTGGTGGGGCTACCGCTCCTCATACACAAGCACATAGACAAACAAAGACAGAGATCCCCCCCCCCCCATATAGCCTTAACATACTGTTGGGGCAAGTGCTTTCAACTGTGGAGAATGCTCACACGATATCAACACCCGCCACTCCTCCCCTACGGTATCTGTCTCTCAACGTAACGAACAAACGTGCTCATTTACGGAGCTTGCCGCGACGAGAGAGAGAGGGTTGGCTCCGGGCCTTCCTCCAAACACGTCGGGAAAAAAAAACATCTTCATACGTATAGAACTGCAGAGCAACCGTTGCTGGCGCTGGCGGGCTCGCCCGCCTGGCCAGCCTCACCGCTCGCGGCCCTCTTCCCTTCCCGCTCGGCGGACGCCACGCGCATCGTTGGAATGTTCGGTCTGCGCCAATGAACGTAACCGTCGGCCTGCTCGTGGCCAAGGGTCGCGTTGGGGCCGTGCGGGCCCCCCCCCCCCCCCCGAAGGCTTGTCGTGTAGAAAGCGCGGCCGCGTGTTTTATTATTTCTTTACCACCACCACGCGGAGGGAACAACGTGCGGAGGGTGGGGGGGGAGGGCAGGGGGAGTTGTACGTACGCAGAGAGGCCGACTCCCGAATGGAAGACTCTTCTTCCTCGCCAACGGCTTTTTTCGTGCCGTTCAGTCTTTTTTTACTGTGGCTGGCAACGCAGGGTGCAAAAAGAAATTCAACGAACCTCCAAAGTCTGCAGCATCGCTTCTGACACCCCTGCGCTCCCGTTCCCATCCCTTCTTCGCTCTCGTTTCCCGTCCAACAGATCCTCGA